TAAGTGTGTTACTGATGTAAAAAGGGAAATACTGATGTACGAAAAAGGAAGTCTCCAAATTCATCCAATTCTATATGAGAAAGTCGTTCTTATCAAATATCTGGAGTGAGTATTAGTTTATATTTAGAAGTGAAATATCACAAAGTAAAAAATGAACAAGTAAAGCTGCATTAAACCTATACTCCCTACGCAACTGAAAATAAAATATCTGAAGAGAAGTATTAGATTGAGAAACATATTTGCATCAAATATGACTTAAAGCTAATTTCTTTATTATGTGAGGTGCTCCAACAAGTAAATTACCAAGTAATCAAGAGAGAAATGGGTAAAGTACATACAGAGTATTTGTACCCTGGGAGATATAATTCATAAATATCAGGACAAATATTAACCTTGCTAATAACTCAAATAAAAAAGAAAAAAATGAGATCCATTTTACTTATTAGGAAAGTATAAAAAAATTAAACCCCTAAATCTGGCTATATTATGATGAAGATATTACTCACACATTATTGGTGGCAATGTAAAATATTAATATCCTTTTGGGAAGCAATTTGGCAATTCATATGAAATGCCATAAAAGTATTTATAGATATGGACTTATACTCCTCTTGCGTATTTATCCTAAGGAAACACATAAAAAAGAGTACATATAAATGATATCCATTTTAGCATTATAATTACATTGAGGCATTACTTATAATGAAATATTAGAAATTATCTAAAAAGCAAAATTAAATAGGTGAATGGCTATGAAAATTATGAATACTAGCCTGATGAAATCAAAGATATAAAGTAAGATTTCAGAGCAACATAGGAAGTGCTTATAGTATAATAAAAAATAGTAGAACACTTTTTTTTTACCCTACTCTAATTACAAAGGCTTCTTAACAGACATTGAAAGACAAATGTAAACTGAAAATAGTTTAAACATTCAGTATACTGGGAATGTTGGGGAATATAGTCTTCCTTGTACTAATAACAAGTACTAATACTTATTGAATATCTACCCTGTGCACATTGCTTGATTATGGACTATGGACATTAAGTATACAAATGCATTTATTCTTATGGGGTATGTCATAGCCAGTGGTAGCGCTGATGTTTAATTCAGGTAATGTCTTTAATCCTGATCTTTAACATGATCCAATTTATATACAAAAATTAAGAAGTGTTAGCCTTGGCTGGTATGGCTCAGTGGACTGAGTGTCCGCCTGCGAACCAAAGGGTCACTGGTTCCCTTCCCAGTCAAGAGCACATGCCTGGGTTGTGGGCCAGGTCCCCAGTTGGGGGCATGCGAGGCAACCACACAGTGATGTTTCTCTCCCTCTCTTTCTACCTCCCTTCCCCTGTGTCTAAAAATAAATAAATGAAGTTTTTTTAAAAAATGTTAGAGCCCCAGCCACGTGGCTCAGTTGGTTGGAGCATGATCCTATGCACCAAAAAGTTGTGGGTTCAATCCCGTCAGGGCACACAGGGGAGGCAACCAACAGATATTTCTTTCCTACTCTCTCTCCTTTCCTCTCTCTCTAAAATCAATAAACATATCCTCAGGTGAGGATTAAAAAAAGAGAAAAAAGTTAGAAGAGTGAGATTTCCCTCAATTTGTAAGAATCATGTTTCAAAAGGCAAGGTATGAATGTAATATTATTTGGTAATCTCAGATTACTATAACTTTAGTAATTGCCAACTAACCTTTGAATCTTGTCTGTAAAGTTAAAGTACAAAGTACATTGATTTTAATAAAAAATCCTCTCACACCATCACAGGATGCTAGAGTTGTGCAAGAGTCTGGAGATTTCCAGATCAGATCCTTTGTATCTAAAGACAGAAGCTGAGGTCTACTCAGTAAGAGACTGACTCAAGGTCATTCAGGTGGTTAATGACCTAACACTAGATATAAATTTCAGGTTTCACAATGGTAGTCCTTCTTTCTATACTATATTACTTTCCTTGTCTGTGAAAGAATCTATGTATTATATTCTAAATGTACAATGAATGCAAATATAACTTTTGCAATGTGCAACAGATGTAAATATAACTTTTAAAACCAGGGCACTGACGCTTGGATGGGGTTAGTATGTTTCCCAGGACCACACAACTATTAACTGGCATCCAGGTCTGATTCCAAAGCCAGTGCTCTTCCCTGCAATGGTCTTCCATAAGGTCTGGGAAGAAAGCGCTCATGTACACAGGGGGCTCTAGTTACAGAGGTTACTTATGTTCCTCATGCATGCCACCAGAGGTTCATGTTGAGAGAGCTGTCTGATTTTTCTTTTTTTCTTTTTAATTTTAATCATTGTTCAAGTACAGTTTTCTGTTCTTTACTCCCATTCCAGCTGATTTTTCTTTAGGCTCATGACTAGCTGGCTGTTCAAATGGGTTAGAAAGGATATTAAGTAAATTCTATCCCGTGGTGTAAAAAAGGTTTCCAAGTTTGTGAAGATCCTGGGATTGATCTTTTGTGTCCTCATAATATACTCAAAGGAACAGAAAGCACTCAGTGCACAGATGTGGAGAAACTGATGAGCAAAGAGGCAAAATAGAATGATGTGTCTGTTTCCTGACAAGTGGGCTTTCTAATATGCTAATGGTTCAATGGATCATGAAATACATTTCCATGACCTTTCCTCCCTCAGGTTTTTGCTCCCTTTCTTTTGTCTCACACTTTAAATTCTATGGCTTCTAGTGCCATAGGCTATAATTATAATCACCTCTCTCCAGTTAGGGAGCCCTCTAAGTCTTCAGTATCGCTCCATGTACAACCATCTCATACAGCAAGGAAGAAATCTTCCAAAGCAAAGCCATCACTTCCTAATAAAATTTCAGTTCTTTCTGAAATTCCTTGAAATAAGCCCCAGCTTACCTCTCCAGCTTTCTCTCTCCCCAAGTCCCTCAAGACCTCCATAACTAATCTGCATTTTCCCTCCTCTGTGCTTTGGCTCACCGTGGTGCCTTTATCTGGAATCTTTTCTTTTTCATCTTTGTTTGTATAAATTCAGTTTGTTCTTTAAGGCCCACCTCAAATGTAATATCCCTTGCTTTTTCTTTAAATTTTTTTTTTAAATCCTCACGTGAGGATATGTTTATTGATCTGAGAGAGAGAGAGGAAGAAACGTTGATGGGTTGTCTTTGGTATGTGCCCTGACCAGGGATGGAAACTGCAACCTTTTGGTGTATGGGACAACACCCCAACCAACAGAGGCACCCGCCCAGGGTTCCCTTGCTTTTTCTGATTCTCCAATCAGATACCTGCTTTCATTGTCTAACCCCTGTAACATGGGGTGTAACTCTTACAAAACTGAACATTCTGATCTGTACTGTAGGTATAGTGTACCTGAACTCAGTTTCATTAAGATCAACTCTGTGTTACTAACTGCTATGTCATAGGTGTGCACCTAGAAAAGACATTCATATTCATAGTCAGGTAAAAAACAAAAATATGACTTGAGTAATGCAAATGAAATCAAATGAAATCAATTATGTCTCACATTTTAAAAAATCAGTTAAGGAACTGGTTAAAGGAACCCAGAGAGTAAAAGAAGAAAAAAAAAAAACCAAAAAATATAGTTTCTTAATGGGGCACTTGATTTTCTAGGTGCAGACACAACACTTGATAGACCTCTACTAGATCAAAAAAGGTATGCCTGCATTATGTAAATGACACTCAAAGTGAGACCCAAAAAGGCTAAAAAACGTGATGACATCTACGATATGCTTTATTTCTTGAGTTTTAGTTTTGTACAGATAAACACAGGAAGCTCTTGATCTAAAATTAGAAACAGTACCGAGGAAGGATAAACTGCATTAAGACAATCAAAAGATAAAATTTGAATGTTATTGCAAATCTGGTTGAATGTGGCTACTAAGCTTTAATTCACTTGCTAACAAAATAAACCAAAAGTTCAACGGAAAATTTAGCTTTCGCCCTAGTTAGAAACAGAATTAAATATTTGATAATAGTTTTTATTCCTCCATATTCTAAAACTAATCAGAGCAGCCAGCTGCCACATGAGAACATTTCATAAAGTTCCTGAGATAGTACTACTCCTACAGAGATCACGAATAATAAACCCAGGTGTCCCTGGCTGTAACCACGTCATTGCTGTTTACTTTGTACCTTTTTTTTTTGAGGAGGTGGGTAAGATGAAAAGGATGGGGAGAAATTAGTTTAAATTGTAGTAAAATAACTTTACAGAGTGAACATAACTGCAAGAATTTTTTTGTGGATCTGTAGCACTTGTTGGTAAGATCACAATGAAACGAACCGATAACTTGAACAAAGGCAACGGGCACCTGCGGCTTCTCAATCACTTACATATTTCCGCTAAACCCGCTAAATTCTGGAATCTGGGAGAGCAGGCGGGTGTCACCATACAACGAGCTCCTTTTTCGGTAAACTGTAAATCACGCGGCAACTGGGGCCCTTCCCAGGGATCTGAGCTAGGAGCTGTCTTGGGTTTTTAGACAAATCTCTCCTCCTACCACACGTGACCGAATGACAATCTGTAGCCCAGACAGACATTACAAGGCACCATCCTCGGGATACAAAGGATCAGTACGCTGCGGCATCCTCGGGAGGATCTCGGAGCTTGCTACGCTCAGCGTCTGTGGAGCCTGCGCAGGGCGCCGCTGCAGCCGCAAGGCGCGTAGCTCCCCGGCGGCAGGGCGGTGCCCCGCAGCGTAGGGAGAGAGGGAGCAGGGAGCACGCACAGCCTGCCCTGAGCTCCTGGCTATCCAGCGCAGTAGGAGCAGGGCCACTGAGCTGCACGCAGTCCAGACTCAGCCACAGGACCCTCGTCCATCGCAGGGAGCCTCGCACGGACGTGGACTAGGGTAAGGAGGCCGAGCCGCCCCCCCCCAGTCCCCAGGCAGGCCCGAGGCCCGACCAGCCCACCCCGGCCTAGGCCCGGGCCTTCCCTTCTCCTCCTGGCCCCTGGCTTTCCCCACACACTCCCCAGGCCTCGCTTGGACTATGGGGCGCTGTGAGTAGCACTTACACCACGGCTCTGGAGATCATCCAGGACACCATCTTCCTGGAGGTTTGGACCCCACCTCCTGGGTGGGTGGGCGCGAACGGGGCGGACAAGGCCACCAAAGGCAGGCTGCACGCTCGCCTGCTCCCTGGGGCCGAGCTGGAGCCCTCGGGAGCTGGGCCCAGTGTTTGCGCTTGGCGGCCCGAGTTGGGAGACCGTGGGTCCCTCGCCCGTCCCCGCCTTTCGGCGGATCCGCAGCTTAGCCAACCAGCCCCGCCCCGCGCCGCTGATAGGTGGTGGCAGCGGCGGCGCGTTGGCGGAGGCCAGGTCTAGTCCGCCGGGATCTGGGGTCGCAGTGGGCGAGACCCCAGACCCCAGCCATGGCCTAAGGGTCTCCTGGCCTGACTTTGCACTCTAACCCCGCCCCCTCCCTGAATCCCTGGGTCATCCCCCAGGCGTGGAGGGAGGTAGTAGCAGGAGGTTGAGGAAGGGGACTTGTACGTAGGGGTTGTTACTGCTTGTGTGAAAAAATAGCAGGAACTCCGTCAGATTGAATTGCTTGGACCAGGCCATAGATTCTGAAGAGGCAAAATTTTGACTTGTGTTTAGCCACATCCGGTGTTCTCACTGTTCACTGAGACGCAGCGCCCTTGGCATCCTTAAAGTACTTCATTTTGAGGCAAACATTCGTAGGATACTTGCACAGTCCTTACAGTGTTACAGGATTCTCAAGGTGGTGCATGGTGCAATGCAGGGAGGGGCAAGGAGGAAAGCCTTGGGTTTCATGTTTGCAGCAGTGGGCGTAGTGTTGATAACGCTGTCCTGGGCCTTCTAAGGCACCTTTCCATCACAGCATCTGCAAAGCCTGTTTTACAGACACATGTTTGAGCCTGCCAGATATTCAAAGTAAAGCTGTGCCTAGGATTTCTAACCCGTCCTGTCATTTCCAGCTGTCTAATTTTTGTGAGGTTGGATTATTGGGTACGCTTTACAGTTTTTGCAGATAGCATAATTCAAGAGGTAGAATTTTAAAACTTTTTTGGTGGCAGTATCAAACTGAAAAGTTGATCTAAAAGTTTAGTCTTACATATTTTTTCACTTACGATGAAAGTGAAAGATAATTCTAGTAGTCAGATGGTACGAAGGATAATGGATGATATATGAGCCTTGAATCCAAAGTCCAAGAACACGTAATAGCTTATTTGGCGACTATACTATAATTTATTCTATTTGTTCCTCAGTTTCCCCATAGTAAAAAGAGCCTAATAATAATGTAGGCTACCTCTTGCCCTTTAGGGGTGACATGAGCAATGCTAAATAACACGTTTAAGAATTTCTCAGACTTGCTTGGAAGAAAATCAAGGACACATATAAGATTAAGATTATCCTGAATTCTTTTGAGTTACTAGTTCAATAGATTTAGTAATATTTTGATTATTTAAGAAATGAGCTCAGAAGCTGTTTTCTACTCTTAAGTTAGGTTCTTTTTGTTTATTTATTCATAATAATATATTTTAATTTTAGGGGTCTTGTTAATGAAAATTCGCATTTGTTCAGAATCCTATATTTGGCCATAATTCAGCATTATTTGGGGGTCAGGTGTGCCACATAAGCACCAGTTTTGTGGAAACTCTTGTGCAATAAAATTAAAAATCATTTCAGTGACATTCGAATCCCTCCATGAACAGGTCTAGAATTGTTTTTACAGCCTGAATTTTTACTGCCTTCCCAACCCTTAATCTACCCTTTTCCTACCTCTCTTCTCTGAGCCAAGTTGTATTTTCATGCTCAGTGACTTTGCCTGGACTTAATTTTTTTTTTTCTTTAGTGATTTGCTCTCCATTCTGTGTCAGAGTCCTTGTTTTTCTGATATCCTATGCTATGAAGATGGCCTTGATATTCCTCAGTGAGAATTACTCAGAATTTTCTCTAGGCTCCCATACTCTATTCCTTGAATTTCTATTTAATGCCTGTGTCAATCTACTTTATATTATGGCTGTTTTCTGATGTCTAATCTACTGGATGATAAAATGTTTGAGGACAGGTATGGTATATTAGATATCTTTGTGTTTTCTTAATGTGTAGAATAGGGTAATTGCCCGATAAAAGTTTAATATTAGTCACTCTCTGAAGTATCACAACTTTAGAAAATTTGAGCCTTGTACAGTAGAAGTCTTTTAAAGATGTCTTGTGTTCCTAACTTTGGGACCATCATTCCAAATATTAATTATTTCACTGCATCATAATACAGTAATGCTTTTAGGGGGTGCTGAGATATATAGGACTGCTGGCTGCTCTCTGAACTGTCCCTAAGCGGCTTCATGTTAAGTTTCATTTTGTATGCTTATATCTTCAGCCTCCCCCCATTCATGTTACTTTTTGCTGCTCTCTATCTAAAATAGCCCCCTTCTTCACTTCTCAGTATGCCATGTGTTGGAAACCACCTACCACTGCTATACCCAAGTTGTCACTTTGTTGAGTCAACCTCACACCCTCAAGCCTAGGTAGTGTTTATATCCATTTGATACACTGGAAACCGAGGTTTAGATAGCTCACTGCCAGTGACCACATAGCCTGTAGGTAACTGGCACTCTAGGCCATGCTTCCTAAGCATTCTTTACATTATACTGTGATAATTGAATTGTGTCTAAGGTACTGGGTCCAGATGGGGAGTGCCCTCTACGGGGAATTTGGGAGACATTTTAATTTTTTTTTATTTTTGTTTGGAATGACAGGGGCTAACCACTAGCATTTGATGGGTAGGGTCCAGGGATGCTATACGTTTTTGTGGTTCGTGGGCCATTCTGAACAAAGAGTGTCACAATGTCCTCCATGGTTTAGGAATATCCTGCCTGACATTTGTGTATTATTTGTAATGATCTGAACCTAAAACCTCCATTTTACATATAAACTCAAGGTTTTTACTGAGGCTAAGTTTTCCATTGTTAGTTTTCACATGCAACTGATGTATGAAAGGAAGATTTGCTTCCTTCACAACTTGACCAAGAGTTGTTGACAGTTTTGGAAAATTGTATCACAAACAAGTTTGCATTTGCAGTTACTAATTAGCATTTATCTGTGAATTACATTTATATGTCTTCTAGTTCAGTTTTGTTTTAGGATTAACATATTGAAATATAAATTATTTTCATTTCTCTTTTCCATTTATGTTTTATTTAGGGTACATGGATTTGTTTGAAGTTGTCTGTAAGAATATTGTTATAAATTTCATTTTAGGGTGACAAAGCAGAAGTTGGGAAATATTTTATGGAAGGGGAACATCAAATGTGATATGGTTGAGTATTGTTGGTCTAAACTTAGAGTAACTTCAACTGAGAAGGAACCTCTTGTGGAAAGTGCTTAGATTTTAGTAGTGGGTGTTTCTAATCTTTGTGTGTTGGGCTGTGCCTTGGGATATTTGAGATCTACTAGTAGGTGTCCATTAAATAAGTGCTTCATGTTGTAAGGCAAGGATCAAAAAAGAGTGGGACTAAAGAAAATATATTATCTGTTGCCCAGAACCTTTTTAAATGTGATCTCATTGGGCGTACTTGAGATCATTTCCTATATAGAAGATAGAAAATTATTTGTTTAAATACTGAATATACGTACATATACATATACCCACTAGTATTCATTTGTTGTGCTATGAAGTGCTTCCTTCATGTGTTCTGCAAAGACAGTTTTCTTTGGGTATTGGGTTGAACCATGGTGGGAAGTCGCCTATTTAGGGTAAAAGGCGACTCTATCAGGAGACCTATTCCTAATACCAGTAACATGATGTTTGGCAAGTCAATCTATTTCTTGTTAAATGGGCATGATAATATTATATAAATAAAGTGCAAAGGGTTTTGAAACCTTAGATAATTAGCCTCTATTAAAAGAATTCCTTTCTTTTCTACATCTGTACTTAGTATTCCTTGGGAGTATGTAGAATATGCAATCTTCTACATTTAAAGGAGTTCATTTAAAAAGAAAACAGTGTGAAAGTACCCAGAAGAGCAGGTAGTGAGAGCAGAATTGCCTGTCATAGAGATAGCATCTAATCTATGTAATTATTAATGAGTACGCTAATGAGACTAAATACTAGGTCACCTTCCCATTTTTATTGGAGGAGTCTTTTTAAGTGCTTGAAAATATTTTTTTTATTGAAGAAGGGCTAAAATTACTAAATGAGTTTACATTTAATAGTTGTTTAGAAAATAGTGTGAGGGAGAGGGTCTTAAAGGGAATGACTTAAAAGACAAAACCTATTCTTTTCCCATCTGCTGCCAGATGGATACTCTGCTGTCTTGGCTAGTCAGCATTATGGTATTATGGTTATAAGAGGTCACATTTGTCATCGGACATTGAAATCAAGTTATGAAGAAAGAATATTAAAAATACAACAATTGGATTGCAATAGAATAGAAAGATTAGATTCTGAATTAACTATTTTACTATAGATATTAATAGAAAAATAGTTACCAGCTAACAATAAAAAAAGCAAAATATGTCCATGATGGCTGGGTCTATGGAACACATATAGTAAGGAATTAAGCATATCTAAGGGTCTTATAAATTTGAGATATTAGCTTTACTTATAGCAATTAAGGATTTAGACAGAAGAGCTTTTTTCTCCCCTTTAGGGTAAAAAGTGGTTTTTGGTTTATGTTAAATGGCAGAGAAATATCTAGCTTAAGACATATTTGAAGCGCTTGCATTATTCTTCATTTAAAATAGACTAGGTTAGTACCCAGTTTTAAAATCAAGGTATATCTATGATTTCAGGTGTTATTTGGGTGCATATGGGGTTACAGTGTAGTTTGCAGAAAGCTTCAATATATGATCATTCCATCATATCTAGTAACAAAACTTTAGCAGTTTTTTTACTGGTGTTTTTGAGTGGTAATTCAAAGTACATGGAATAAAATTCAGAAGGGTAAACAATGAAAAGTTTGTCTATTATTGCCTGTTTTCAGCTATTCAGTTCCATTCAGAGGCTATGTAACCAGGTTTTTTTGTTTGTTTTGCCAGAGTAATATCTAGAAACAGACTCAATATATAGGTATTTTGTTGGGAACTGCCCTTCCTGGTTTCAGAAGCTGTAATCCCCTGTGACTAAGGCTGAGTAAAGAATCTTGGGACCATAAGCCATTTAGGAGACAAAGCTTATCTTCCTTGTAGGGGCACCACCTCTGCCCCCTTTCTCTTCACCCTGCTTGGCCCCAGGTGGATGACCTGTTAGCCAGTGATGGGTAAAATTCCTCAAGGGAGGGA